TTGAGAAAAGTCTCCCTCATAACTTTTTTACAGACTACAGAAGCATGCTGATGTATGCACTTGCAGAACGAGTTAGGAAAAAAATATATTTTATGTCAAATGCATATATGACTGCCAGCCTGATTCCCACCCCATACTATTGCTATCTCTTGTCTCAGCCATGAGTCTAGGAAAATTCAAGAAGCATTGGAGCCTGTTTCTGACCAGGAGCAATACCTGCTGAGAAGTCACCACCCCAAACTGCCCTAATTCTATTCCTAACATACCCATCATCATTTCAACCTTTTAGTTGACATAAATTGGTATAATGAAGCAAGAAAGTAACATGAACAAATTTACTTCAAACTGTAGTCAGTAATTAAAAGCAAAATAGTGCGGAGTAAGGTTCGAGGACGCACCCACAGATGAAGTAATGACCCCATTTATGATTCTTCAGATCAATATCCTACACAATGAATAAAGTGAAGCAAATTAACATGGTATATAGATCTTTCACGGATGAAATAAGACCACTATGAAAATTAATTAATTAACAGCACTCCAAAATGACCTGGTCCAAATACATCCTTGACGTAGTGGAATCACTGGAGTGTGTTCCATGCAATAAATTCAATTGATGAATGAATGGATGACAAAAGATGGGCCATAGACAGAAATTCGGGTACTTATTTGAAGAAAAATAGGACGAGCAGCTAAGATAACAAGTTGAGACATTGCAAGAAATGGGTTACATATAACAAGAGCCAATCTTCAATTCAGTCCACAAATCAAAACGTGTAATTAGTTTTTACAGGTCTTAGCCTGTCTAATTACTACCATCAATGTTGCAGATTCTTGCTGGCTCAAACATGAAGAAATTTTGGATATAGAAATTAAGACTATTTTTCACTTCAACTCCACATTTAGTAATTCACTCCAACTTCAAAACTTGTTTGGTTTGTATCACAAGATACAATTTTTGAGAAAAATTTTCAAAATTTTGTTTGGTTCAAATTTTTTAAAAAAAAATTTCCAAAATCACTCTCTCCTACACATCAATCAATCACTTTTTCTCTCATCTCTCCTTCTAAATCACTTTTTCTCTCATATACATCTACACAACTACAACAAAATATCAAATCACCCCAAACTCCCAATCCAAAACTATTTTCAAAATATACAACCAAACAAACTAAAAAAATTTCAAACTCTCTCCCTAAAAAAAATTTTGAAAATTTATCTCAAAATACAAACTAAACACACCCGTAATTTTTCTGTCAAAATTTCCAAATGCAGATCCATCTTGGATTGCCAAGCAATAATTTTTTTAAAAGCAACATGAAAAGAGCAGTTGGGTCTCTGTGCTTACTACTGCCTGCGTGTAGAGCATTTGAGAGCTCAATACACCTTTCAAAGTCCAAGCCCTATATAACCTTGAAGAGTCTAACCAAACACACATCTTCAAACTCTCTCTCATACTTCAATTTTCATGACAAAGACAGCTGATATCATGGAATCAAACTAACTCCAATTTCTAGCTTTCCCCTTTTTCATCCTCTAATAATTTAGTAACAAGTAATACTATACACAAATTGATTTCTGACCCGACTTTCTTACCATTAGACACAAATGCACTACGATCAATCCACGTTAATAAATACACATAAAACCATTGTTTGTGTCTTGGTGCTAAATACAACAACTTGCATTCACAAGCACACACTTACATAACATAAACCACAATTACATACACACACATACATATCTATAGATAGAGTCACATACCTGAGTTGGATCAGCAGGTAAGTACACAAGGAGTACTTGTCGCTAACATTAGCAATCCGGAGAAGTTTCAGCATCGTTCTTCCGGATCGCCACGATTGTGTCCTGCCGAATCGCCATCGGCAACACCGAGTACCCCTCATAATCAATGTGTTCCCCAATCAAATTCACTCTCCCTGTACTCAATTCACTCACAATATATACAAATATACATATATATAGAGAGAGAGAGAGAGGGGGGGATGGGGGACCTGGAGATCGAGGCGTAGAATTGAGGAGGGTGCCGAAGACGTCGAGGAACTTAGATTTCAATCTGTCGAATCGGAGCTGAGCTTCTTCGACCTGAGATTCGTCTCCGTACACTGGTTCGAGTGTTGAGTAGACTGGATTGGAAGCTCTTCGTGTCTCGCCATTTTTGCTGAGCTCTAACTGATACGATTGAATTGTGAATTTGAGAGAGGCTTTGATTTGATGATGTATGTGTGTGAAACGCAATTATTAATTTATTATTGTACTATGAAAAAGGAATATACGAGTTGGTGTTGGTGGACTTTCTCGGGGGAAAAAATAAAGAAAGAAAGCAAGCTGTTGGATAAGAAAGCACTTTATGAAAAGTTGGAAAATCTCCAAGTGAGGGAGAGGAGAGAGAGTTAGAGCCGTGTAGCTGGCCATTTGGAGGACTCCGTCGTCATTTACTTCAAGTAAGAATCTTTTATGGGTTGGTTGGTTGGTTGGTTTGGGATAAATTAAAATACCGTTAAAACTTTTAAATTTTATTTAAAAAGTTAAAAAATTTATATTATTTGGAGAAGTTTGTAAGGTAAAATTATTTTTTGTTTTCTTAAATTTAATTATTCAAAATTAAAAAAAGTTAAATGTTAAAAAAGGTATAATAGTTATTTTAATTTTATTATAATATTTTATCACGTATCTTTTCGTAAAAAGTTAAAAATTATTTTAAATATATATCTTTTTTTTCTATTTTTAATTAAATTAAAAAGTATACTTATATAAGTACATCTTCTCTTGCTTTTGATTAGGGTTTAGTTACATTTATCCTTTTCAATTACAATAATGCTTGAGACCACTAATTAGGCCTCGTTTGGAACATGTTTTTTCAGTAACTTTTGGCTTTTTAACTAAAATGTGATGTAAAAAATTTAGTATGTTTGGGATGATTTTTTGACTTTTTACGAAAAGATTGCAAAGAGTAGGGAGAAAGAGAATCTTTGATTTTTGGAATAGGTTGTTAACTTTTTGACTTTTTTCGTAATTTTTTAGCTTTTAACTAAAAAAGCCAATTGCATAAATGGGGTTGGTGTATATCTTTTTTAACCCAAAAGTGTTAATGTGGGACTTATTCTTTTTGTAGTTTTTAGGTCACAAATCACATGTGCTGAAAATTACTATTTTTTTAACTTCATAAAGTAGAAAATAATGTTTATTATTTTCAATACCATCTTTTTGCCAAATTGCCAAGTTTTGAGTGCTGTTTTTTAGTAATAAAACGATTGTTGACTTCCAAAGATGCATTGTGGTGGGCTGGGCCATATCTATCTAATGAAGAAAAACCAGATATTGGCCTTTCATGTTCTCTACTTGTAAGCTAGAGTCGGAAGTGGTGGCCGAAATTCCAAAATTCTATAAGGTGATGTGGAGACAGAACAGATATCAGTCTGTGTTAAAATTGATGAATTATTGATTAGATTGATTGTATATTGATTGATTAATTACAATTCCTATACAATCTATATATAGAAGAAAATGTGGTAGTAGGTGTAGTGAGGTGATAGTGGGTTAGGTGAAGTGGAGTGTGTGGTGAAGTGGAGGTAGGTGAAGTGGAGTGTGTAGTGGAGTAGGTGAAGGTAAAGATGGGAAATTCTAACAGCCCCCCGCAAAACTCAAGGAGGATAGAAACTAAACAACTTGAGTTTGAGAGATGAACAAAACAAGAAAATACATAAAAATAAAAAAAAAAAAGGATAGGAGACACTGTATGGTCGTGTCAGACCATTGGTGAAGACACTGTATGGTGGTGTATTAACGTTGCAGGGACACTGTTATGGGTGTCATAAACGTTGTAGAGGGACACTGTATGGGGTGTCATAACGGTGTAGAAGACAGTTTATGGGGTCATGTCGGACCGTTGTAGAAGGACAGTTTTATGGGGTCATGTCGGACCGTGTAGAAGACAATGTTGTGCAGTTTACGGAGTCTTGCTGGACCCTTGTAGAAACTAACCGGAATCAATGTCGGGACAGTTTACAGAGTCTTGTCGGACCCTTGTAGAAACTAACCGAATCTATTGTCGGGACAGTTTACAGAGTCTTGTCGGACCCATAAAGGAGGCTAACCGGAATCAATGTCGGACAGTTTTACAGAGTCTTGTCGACCTTGGAAAAGCTAACCGGAATCAAATGTCGGGACAGTTTTACAGAGTTCTTGTCGGACCCTTAAAAAGCGCACCCTCAAAAAGGTGTGCCCAATTTTGTCAAAAGGCGTGCCATCAAAAAGGCGTGCCCAATTCATCAAAAGGCGTGCCATCAAAAGGCGTGCCATCAAAAGGCGTGTCCACTTATCAAAAGATGTGCCATGAAAAGGCGTGCCAGTTTGTCGGCGGGCAAGGAGGCGCGCGATTACGCGTGGCTGCCGCGGCTTATTTAACCAAGACGAAGGCTGAGGCTGAGGCATACCATTCTTGAAACCTCTGAAACCAACCCTTCGCTGAAAAACTCTGCCTCTGCGGAGAGAGAAAACGTTGGAACACTTTGTTGCCATTCTGTCACCAAACCCTTCCGAACATTACCAGTCTGAAATTGCTATTTCGCTGAAACACTTAGCAACCCAAAACATGGCCTCTTCTTCCCGCCCAGTTACCCGAACTTGCTCACGCTCTTTCCAGAACTGAACGAGCCCACAAGAGAAATAACTGGTGCGGTGGCCAGTAAACCGCAACCAATACCTCTGGTTTGCTCCATTGAACTTTCCGATTGCGGTCGGTGGAGCAAAAAATTGGCGATGCAAACTGATATTGAGGCTAATCAGTATACTCTGAAGTCATGCGTGGAAACCATGACGGCGGTACAAATTTGTCGAACCGGTTGCAGAGTAGGATAAAATGAGGTGCAGCATTTAAATTCCCAGCTGGCTCTGCTCCAACGCATGTATAAGGATGCGCGAGCAGAGATAAGCGTGCTAAGGGCAGAAAATAAGGAGCTGAAGCGGAAGGCCACCGTTGATGTTCCGATTTGGAGGGCCGCCATATGCTGCAGTGGAGGAGCAGGGAGGAGGCAACTTGCTTGGTGGTCTAGGAAGCACGGAGGCAACACCGTCAAGGGCCGCCCAGGACGGAGGCAAAAAGAAGGAGACCTGCAGTAGAGTAGAGAAGAAAAAATCCCGCTTGTGTATGTGGTTGTTTGGGTTTGGTTTGTTGGGTTGTTTTTTTTTTTTTTTTTTTTTTTTTTTATGTAAAATGGTGATCGGGGTGAGTCCCGACATGAATAAAATAAGGGAAGGTTTTGGTGCAATTCTGGCCTCTGTTTGTTGTTGTTTTTTTTTTTTTTTTTTTTTTTTTTTTTTTTTTTTTTTTTTTTTTTTTGGTGGTGGTGAAAATAAGAATAATAATAATAAATAAAAGGAAGTGGTGGAAGGTAGGGGAATCAATGAAGGCTAGTATAATATATTGGAGTGGGGAAAAGAATGATGAGAATGTTGAGTATATAATAAAAAATGGGTATTTGAAAGAGATTAAAAAAGGAATTTAGAGAAAAAAAAATAAAAATAATAGATTTAGAAATTAAACGGAAGAAAGAGTGAGGAGAAGCCCACGTGGGTGGCTTTGTTTTTTTTATTTTTATTTTTTTTTTTTGAAGATAAAATAAAATAAAATAATAAAATAAAGAAAGTGTCATAAAAGGGATGCACATGGGTTCTGAGGTGGTTCATAATAATAATAAGAATAAACGGAAGTGGGAATAAAAGGGATGCACATGGTTCTAAGATAAAGAGAATAAAGAAATATTATAATAAACATATTAAAATAAAAAATAAAAAGTGCTCTGGATTATTATAAGACACATATTATAGTCGCATGCTTCTGATAAAGTGGAGAGAGAGAGAAGAGGGCCTGTATTTATTTGTGTACCTGAGGCTTTAACAATTCATGATTTAGCCAAACAGATTCAAGGAACTGATAAAGTGAAGAGAGAGAGAAAAGGGCCTTTATTTATTTGTGTACCTGAGGCTTTAACAATTCATGATTTAGCCAAACAGATTCAAGGAGGGCCAATGTCTTTATTAACGGTGGCTTTAGGGGTCGACGCTGATGCAGCGGTAATACCAACCTTGTTTGCAAGATCCAAAGGAGGAAGCAGAGGCTACACAGATCCCCCTTGTTTTAAAGAGGGAGATCAGGAACCGATTGCTGAAGATTTCCACCATTCACAATGGGATAGACTCAATTCTTCGGAGAAAACAAAAACAAGAAAACTTCCAGAGGAAGAGAGAGAAGAGACTGGGCTTGATGACAGTATTGTGTGCTCTCGCTTAGTGAAAAAAAAAATTGAAGGTATGTGTAGAGGTCCGGCGGGCGGCCAAGGCGAGGTTGCCGCCCGCCGGTGAAGCAGAATTAGTAGCTTATTTTTTTAACTTCATAAAGTAGAAATAATGTTTATTTATTTCAATACCATCTTTTGCCAAATTGCCAAGTTTGAGTGCTGTTTTTAGTTAATAACGATGTTGACTTCCAAAGATGCATTGTGGTGGGCTGGGCCATATCTATCTAATGAAGAAAAACCAGATATTGGCCTTTCATGTTCTCTACTTGTAAGCTAGAGTCGAAAGTGGTGGCGCAAATTCCAAAATTCTATAAGGTGATGTGGAGACAGAACAGATATCAGTCTGTGTTAAAATTGATGTATTATTGATTGATTGATTGTATATTGATTGATTAATTACAATTCCTATACAATCTATATATAGAAGAAAATGTGGTAGTAGGTGTAGTGGAGGTGATAGTGGGTTAGGTGAAGTGGAGTGTGTGGTGAAGTGGAGGTAGGTGAAGTGGAGTGTGTAGTGGAGTAGGTGAAGGTAAAGATGGGAAATTCTAACAGTCTGCTATATAGGCAACAGACTGGTGTTGAATCATTTACTAATGACTACAAGTAATAAATGAAATTAAAACTTCTCTCTCTCTCTCTATATATATATATTTTTTCTAATAAAAAAAAAAAAAAACTGCACATGATAAATGAGCACCTAATATATGGGTTGATTTTTTATGTTCTCTTGGAACTGATTAATATCCCACACCGGAAATCTATTGTTATGTGTTCTGCAGGTATAAGGGCTACCATGAGTATGCTAAATCAAAAGGACTGGATGTTGGTGTTCCAGTTGGGCTGGATGTTATGATTGATGGAACAGTTCCTACAGGTATAATTTCTCTGTAATGTGAAGTCTGTAATCACTTGACATTGTAATGCTTTATGGAGCAACAGTTTTTTTTATATAATGCTTCATATCTGAGTTGCCTACTTTTTGTTTAGGGTCTGGTTTATCAAGCTCTGCAGCATTGGTCTGCTGTTCCACAATTGCTATAATGGCTACCTTTGATGTGAACTTTCCAAAGGTATACCAACCATTTCTCCATAGCTATAGGGGAAGTATTTCATCAATTTCCTTTGCTTTCTTAATATATACTCAGAATTTCATATTGATTGAGCATTGCATTCCTTAGGAACATTCTATACCATGTCACTTGCTCAAACTTCGATTCTGAGATTATTTTTCTTTGGTGTGTGATTTTTACCTTTTGTTTATGAAAGATCTGCCATATTCATCAATTATAATTGCATTGAACTCATAAAATCATCTACTTATTACAAAACTATTCCCTTGCTTAACATATTTAATTATTTGTTTTATATTTTTTATGGTACAAAATATTGAATAAAATCATTGAAGTATAACCATGCATTATTTGGATACAAAAATTCGTGGTTGGTTTTCCGATAATTTGAATGCTCGTTTGTGAGAGTGTCAAGAAGAGTATCTGATGTTTTTCTTAGGATGTCTGTGCTTATAATTCTGCTTAATGCTACATAATTCATTTGTACTTCCACATGTTCTCTTTACGTTTGAGATGCTTACCTTTCGCAGGCTGGTTGATGAAGACTAATTGATATTATCTGTGCACATATTGAAAGGTTGTATCTTTTGCTGATTCGAATTTCATGTTTTACTTTACAGAAAGAGATTGCACAGCTTACATGTGAATGTGAACGGCACATCGGGACACAATCTGGTGGAATGGATCAGGTTACATATCCTCCGTTACATACTCTTGAAATATATTATAGGTTTCTTGAATCTTTGGTGCTGTAGCTGTACTTCTAAAAAGGGACAATATGCAAACTTGATTCAGTCCTACAAAGCATAATTCTCTTGTATATTACGACTTGCAAGTTCCCATATACATTCTAAGGAAGAATGCTTTTGTTAAGCTGGTGGCTTGGTGGTTAGTGTTACTTTGGTCACTCGCAAGTCTTCGTGGGGCTTCAGTCTGGTCCGTACTTTTTGTGATATTGCCATTTGGGCTAGGTGACTCCTTGTAATCTTGTCGTGCATCGTCTTTAATGTCCGCCAGCCTGTGATGCATGGTAATATTTGTTATGAACTTGACCTAGATGATAGTGAGATCCTCTAACACACTGCAGACATATGCATGGAGATTTGAAAGTTGCAAAGTTGCATTCCTTATTTATCATTAACTGCTGAAATCATAAGGTTATGACCTGTATGTAAGCAAGTGAGAATAGCTTCACAACATGGTGTGTCTAGCTGGCTGGAAGTTGCTTAACAAAGGAGTCTGCATGCTTCTGATCTAGAAAAATCCCAACTGATGAGAGCTTATATATTACAGCACGTCATAAATTTGTTGTTTTATACTAACAGATATCACAAAGATTTTTTTTTTCCCTTCCCTTTTATGAGGTATAGTGCCATGTAAATTGGCACATCCTATTGTGAGTTGGGGGTTGTTTGATGACCCCATTTAGTGAATACAACTGAAAAGTTACAGTTGGTGTTATATTAAAATGCATTTTATAAATGCACAATCAACTACTATTGAATGCTGAATTTACTTCAATGGAAGGTAGCCTTAAACATTGACATAGATAAACAACATTCTATTTAAGATTTTTCGTTTTGAAAAATCAGCACTTAAAAGTAATCAGCACTAATAGTTCAGCACCAAATTTTCAGTTTTGTCAGCCCCATTAGTCAGATCCGTTTTTGTTTCATTATGGAACAAGGATTCTTTAGCTTGTTAACACACTGTGATCTTATATTTACTCCATGCTGAAATGGCATTGAGAATTTTTGATTGATCAATGGAACTATAAATGTGTTCAGTTATTTCCCCAGCATAATATTTGTTATTTTCATCCTCATCAAACAAATTGATATCTTTTCATTTTAGGTAGATTGGTCACAGCCTATCAGTCTGTCTTGTTTCACTTTGCAGGCTATCTCTGTCATGGCTAAATCTGGGTTTGCAGAGCTGATTGATTTCAACCCAATTCGTGCAACTGATGTACAACTTCCTGCTGGCGGGTCTTTTGTCATAGCCCATTCGTTGGCTGAATCCCAGAAAGCAGTCACTGCTGCTACAAATTACAATAATCGGGTTGTTGAATGCCGGCTAGCTGCTGTAAGTTTTATTTTACTTTATTTTATTTTTGAAAAATTGGACATGAATTTTACTTTTCAATTGACTTGAAGCATTACTCTATAGACCCTGTAGCCATTTAAAAAGCTCCTGATTATAAAAACTACAAGTTCTACTATCTCTATGTCATCCTCCATGGCAATAGTGATTTAAGGGAACTCATTTCTTCTCCCCTTGTATTCCTCTTCCTTTCCCCGTTTTGAAGCTCAACTCTCCTCATTTTTTAACTGATCTCTTCTTTTAGCTTTGGGCGTGGAGATTCACAGCAAACTGTCATTCATTTGTTTGTTTTGGGTACTTGTATGAGTTTAATATCTGAGAAAGTCATGGTTTTCTCTTCCCCTTGTGCTAATGGAAGGGAAAAAAGACTTGTTAGTTTGGAGCTCTGTATTAAATTGTTTCTTTTTGGATTTAATTACTTGAAGGTGAAACCAATTTGTATGTAGATTTGGAATTGTGTGCTCAAGTATTTATTAGCAGGTTTTGGAATTGTAAAATCAAGAGTTTTCATTCTTTGATTTTTCCAATGGGTAAAAAGACTTCCAAATGCTTTCAGTTTCCTACTGTAAAATGTCTGTTGTACTCACAATAGTGGAGACTGTAGATTTTACTCGGTATAAAGCTTGGAATGAAACCGCAAGAAGCAATATCCGAAGTGAAAACTCTTTCTGATGTTGAAGGGTTGTGTGTATCGTTTGCTGGCAGACATGGATCTTCTGACCCTGTCCTTGCGGTCAAGGTATCTATTTATTTATTTTATGCAGCAAGGTTGTTGCAATCATTTCTTTGTTTGTTTCTGTTTTCCCTCAATAAAATCATGCCTCTACTTGTCTAACACCGTTAGATGGTTCTTACAAGCGTATAATCATGGATTTTTGGTTATGTTGTTCTCAAGTAAACAGATATGTTTTTATCTACCCATACATGTCAGGTTACATTAGCTTGTGGCATTGCTACAGGAACTCTTAAGTGAAGAACCATACACAGCTGAAGATATTGAGAAAATCATCGAGGAAAACTTGCAATCCGTCTTTGCCGATTCTCAGTCTTCTTTGGATGTGCTAAAAGCTGCCACACACTACAAGTTATTCCAGGTAACTTTTTTCAAACACTGCAAGTTATTCAGGTTACTTTTTTGTTAAAACCTATCACCTACTTCACCCACTAAACCTAACCCACTACACCACTACCACCTCACCTACTCCACTAAACCTAACCCACTACACCACTACCACCTCCACTCCATCTACCACCTACTACCACCTACTCTTCTATATATAAGAATCATTGTAACATTCAATAAATCAATCAATAATACAATTCTCTTTATACTTTGAATTTTAACATTTTTGTTGATTGGCAACATTATCTTTTAGTCCAGCCTCATGATTGAAATTATAATTTTAGTTCATAAACAGGGCTTCCATAGATATTCTACCTTAATTTCACTGGGCTAACCATGTAACAAATCAAGCTAAAGACTTTGGGACTTCATTAGAAGCTTGGACTTCCACACCCACCTGCGTATAAGTTAATCTACTCCTAAGTTGAGTAGTCATATCATATCAAAAGTATAAAGCGGTCCCAACATAGCAAGCTACAAAGCTTCAGCCTTATCTGTCCATAATTCCAAAGGAACATTTTAAAAATTTATCTGCATAGGAATACTGGTAAAATTTTGCTGCCTCTAGTGCCTTTTCACATAATGAAAAAGGCATTTCCTACTTTAAAAAAAACCTACCCGAACATGGTCCCATTAGTATTGTTCTTCCTCTGGTGGCTCTAAAGGAACTTTTAACGGTTGCCCGTACTAACAACCAGTTGTTATGATGATATAGAACTTTTGCCCAACTATTATCAAAAGATGGATTCTTATTTTGACTACCTTTTGTTCAAAAATCTTATAAATTTTGTTGTTTTGTAGTGATACATATTCTTTCTCTCATCCCTTTGGAAGCTCTTAACTCTTGTCTAACATTTAATATCCAGAGAGCCTCTCATGTGTATGCGGAAGCCAAGCGTGTATATGCTTTCAAGGACGCTGTATCATCAAACATAAGGTGAGTTAATATGTAGTACCATGAGCTAGCCTTCCATTTATGCTATCCATGCTTATGCATTTGCAATATATTTTAGTAGGATCTTGTTAGCTAGAATAGAATCTTTAAGATTATCTCTCTGTTTCTATTTATTTTTAACATGATCTCAAATTAGTACTTTTATATAGTTATTTCAAATCCATAATGATAAAACTATTTAATTTCAATGTTGAAATTTATTGGTAAACTATCAAATCTAAATTTAAGTTGTTTTCCTTGAATGATCATTGTCAAATCCATGTATTTCAAATCTACATTCATCCAAATGGACTTTTAAGTGAAGATATTTACCAATTTCACGTTTTCCGAATCTAACATCCAATAAGTTCTCATTGCTTGCAGTGAGGAGGACAAGCTGAAAAAGCTTGGTGACCTAATGAATGAAAGCCATTATAGCTGCAGCGTTCTGTATGAGTGCAGGTACTAGTCCAGCTTCTGAAATTCATATGTATTAAGTGATATGTAGGGTTGCTGACAATATTGATATTGGTATTCTTTGATTCTTAAGCCACTAGTTGAGGTGCCTTTTAACATCTTTAATTACATGTAGGGGAATTGCAAATTAGTGCCTACAAGTGAAAATAATTACAAAAACATGAAGAGGTATAAGTGTGGCTTGTTGTCACGGCCTTGGTTGTTACTTGGTGATGCTAAGTCAACCTAACCTACAAACTCGCAAGAAAGACAAGTTAGAAGACAAAGAGAGTTTGAGAGAATGCCTTTGTATACACCTTAAAGAGACTTGTACAACTCTGGGATGGGTTGGAGCAAATGAGCTATTTTCCTATTTATGGGCTCACATTTCAGCTCAGTTCATTTACTCTGCAGGCTTTTTTTTTTTGACTCTAATTGGGCAGGAGATATCTTCGATAGGAAATCTGCTTCTGGCTATTGTGTCTTTCTTGGCTCTAATTTGATTTCCTAGTCTGCTACTTCTGGCTATTGTGTCTTTCTTGGCTCTAATTTGATTTCCTAGTCTCCTAAAAAGCAACCTACTGTCTCCTGAGGCTGAATACCGATCTTTGGCACATACCACTGCTGAACTTAGTTGGCTGCAGATGCTTTTTATGCTTTTTGTTGACTTAGGCATTGCTATCACTGCTCCACCCATTCTCTAGTGTGATAACCAATCTGCTATAGCCTCTAACCCAGTTTTTCACACTCGCTCCAAACACATTGAAATGGATTGTCATTGTACATCCCTACCAATGATCAACTTGCTGACATTTTTAAGTACATCCCTACAACTTGCTGACATTTTTACAAAGCCCTTATCAACATCCAAATTTTCTTATTTGCAGTCCAAGCTTCTGGTCACTGCTCTTCCCATCAGCTTGCAGGGGCTGAGGAAATAAAGTCCACAAATGCTGCCAAGGCAAGCTAGTAACTGCTGCTGCCACAGCAGCAGCTGGTAGCCATTCCTAACTGAAACAGAGGCAGTTTAGTGTGTATTAATTGTATAATTGTGTATGTACTAAGTGTGTGTGAGTTGGTTACATTGTAACAATATATTTTAGTTAGTTAGAGTTGTATGGTTAGATTGTTAGAGAGGTTAGAAAAGTCAGTTAGGAATCAAGATTGTATTGAGTATATAAGTGTAATGGCTTTTGATAAAGAAGAAATAGAAGATGAAAGAATTAGTTCTGAAAATTCATCATGGTATCACTTTAAAGAGACTTGTACAACTCTGAGATGGATTGGAGCAAATGAGCCCCTTTCCTGTTTATAGGCTCCTTGGGAGCATTCTAAAACACACAGGTAGAAGCTTCCCATGGAAGCCTTCTTACAAGCTACAAGATCATTTCTAGAATGTCTTCTAAAAATATCTATACAAATATCTACAAATCTAGATATATGTACAAGTATGTATATACTTGAATTCCCTAAGGCCTTTTAGAATTCTCCATGGTCTCATATGTGCTAGAATTTGCTAGGGAGTTTTAGATTCTTCCATTGGCTCCCATTTTTCCAAGCTCTTATCCGGATATTTCTGGAGAATTCTGTAAGGGCGTGACATTGTGCAATGGTGCATGTGAGATGGCAATTTTCACTTGCCTCACAGCCCATACCAACTTACACATCCATGTTTTTGCAATTATTTTCACTTATTTCCATTGATTTGCAATTTTCCCTTACATTTGTCGTTCTCTTGATAAAAATTGCGACTTCAACAAATTTTCCCTGTATTTACTTGTACCTTTGTGTGGTTTCTATAATTAGCTGCCCAGAGTTGGAAGAACTTGTGAAGGTTTGTCGCGACAATGGTGCTCTAGGGGCAAGGCTGACAGGAGCTGGATGGGGTGGTTGTGCAGTTGCTTTGGTGAAAGAGTCTATTGTACCTCAGTTCATCCTGAACTTGAAAGTTAGTTTGTGTTTTTTTGTTTTTGTTTTTTTCTATCTGGAATCATCTTGCATCTCGATGCGGTATTAACAAGGTTGTTATGTGTTTGTATCAGGAGCAATTTTATCATTCAAGAATCGACAAAGGGGTGATCAATAAGAATGATCTTGGTCTCTATGTTTTTGCTTCCAAGCCATCCAGTGGTGCTGCTATTTTCAAATTTTTGTAGTCCTCTCTGGTTTATTGCAATGAACACAGTACTTTGCAAGAAACTTCAATTATTTTGTTTTATCGTGAAGGGTAATTATCTAATCCTTACAGTCCATGAATGAAAGTTGATTTGTGTTTCATACCAAACGATCATATTAAAAAAAAAATTATGGGCTATTTTTTTTTCCTTTTCTTTTTCGTTCATTTTTATTTTTATTTTTATTTTATATAGTTATTCTTTTCCTTTATTATTTGGTAATATGCATGTATTAACCCTTTGTTAAAGCCCTTGTTGTCACTTTCTCTACGGGATTTGTAATATGTTTAATAAAAAAGTGAATGATATGTTATTAATTTAATTCTAACAAGTTTTTTTTTTTTTTGAAAAATAATAAGGTTTTTGTTATATATGAAATAATGATGTTGTTTTGATGGAGATTTGATGCAAAAATGAGGATCTTCATCCTGAATTAAATTTTTGTATTTGTTTTGAAGTGTGAGAAAAACTAAATGAACAAATAATTATATAATAACAACAATATTGCATCTCTTACTTTATCATTTTTAAATCATGACATTGAGGTTATTAGGGATAATTTTTAAAATTGATAAATTAAGTGTCTTAAGTATTTTTCATTTAATAAACTAGATATTTTCTTTAAGCTTAACCAACCAATTTAATTCAGTTTTATTTTTATCAATAATTTATGGGAGACTTATTTATAAGTCCTTTTTCAGACACTTATGGTAGGCTAAGTCCTGTGTAATTTCTTATAGAGTTTCAAGTCCTATTTAGATAGAAATGTATTTCACTAGCTTCTATATATACGTAACGTGATGTGACACTTACATAAACGTAACGTAACATGACAGTTATATAAACGTAACGTAACGTGACACATATATAAATGTAACGTAACGTGATATCTACAAGAATCTGGTTGGTTGCAAATAGGTCTACAAAGTCAAGACTCATTTTGATAGTTCTCTCGAATGCTATAAAGCCCGTCTGGTTGCTAAAGGTTTCTCACAAGAATGTGGTATTGATTATGAGGAGACCTTTGCCTTTGTTGTCAAGATGACTACTGTCCGTACTTTGATCTCTGTTGTTGTTGTTTGTCATTGGTCTCTTTATCAGATGGATGTTAAGAAATCTTTTCTTAATGACCATTTCATTGAAGAGGTTTACATGTGTCCTTCCTTTAGCCTTCATTATTCCTCTGGTCAGGTTTGTCGCATTCGGCGTGCTCTGTATGGTTTGAAGCAATCTCCTCATGCTTGGTATGATCACTTTCAGACAGTTGTTACTGTGCTTGGGTTTCTTTCTTGTGCCCACGACTTTGCATTGTTTCTTTTCCACACCTCTGTTGGTTTTGTTGGGTTATTATTGTATGTGGATGACATGATCATTATTGGCTCTGACTTTTCTGCTATCCTTGAGGTTAAGCAGCATCTCTTTCGCACTTTTGAAATGAAGGATCTGGGACTATTGTGGTATTTTCTTGGTAATATACAGTTTCATTAAGAAAACTTACAGTAATCTTGTTTTCTTGGCTGCCGTGGCTAGTGACCCTTCTGTCCAGTTTTATCGGCTCAATTAAAATATTTAGGTATGTTGCATGTGCATGATATTTTGCAAAAATGGTAACCAATGACAAGTTTTTGTAAGGATTGTATTTGATTTGAATTCAGGGCTCTTTGGCAAAGCACTCGGAGATTCTCAAATTGAGCTTTGAGGGTTCAAACATATTTAGAAGACAATAAATATAACATAAGTATTTAAGACGTCAACTCTACAAAATTCAGGCAATGAACTTCTAGATAGAAAACTTATAACTACTAGCATGTTATTGAAAATGAAATTTACTTATTTATTAAAGAGAAGAATGATTGGAACTTGGATAACGCACAAAATTAGATTGAACCATGCCCTCCCCAATTCCTCTCAAAATTGACTTCATTATAGACATTATTACAGTGAAGATGTCAGACAGAATCTTGCCCATACGAATGATCATTAGCGGTGGTGTCTTAATGGTGTTCAAATCTTTTTGCATTCTTCAGCCCCTGTCAGAGATTTGAACATGCCATCTTCATCAGCTTTGTGATCGCCTATAGTTAAAGCGTGAAGGGTTTTTGGGATATGATAATTGAGGACCATGTTGTAAAGTTTACTGCACTTGCGTAAGGGAACTCTGGACTGGAGGCTTGGCCCCTTAAGCTTATTGATGTTGTTTAAAGCAACAGTTGCCTTAGCTATCGTGACATGAACCAAAATCAGGCTTAGGCCTTTGACATTTGCCCTTGAACTCTGAGGCTTTGATCGCAGAGTTGAGATGCAGAGTTGGTAAAAGGGCGTGTGCTTGCACATTTTGGTTATCAAGTCATTGCGAATCGTGACAAAGCATTGGATTAAGGGTAGAAGGATGATAAGAAGAAAGACAAATGTGGGGGACTAAGCTCTTCATCTTTTCTTTGTAGCACCTGAAAAAGAAAAAGAAAAAGAAAAAAGAGATTGTAAGAAGAGTATTGTTTGATGGTGATGTTATTCAAAGGGATCTTTTAAATGGGGGTTGGACTGCATATGTTTTTCGATGTTGTTTGAAGCCATGATTGCCTTAGCCTTTACAACATCAAGCACAATGATGCCTAGACCTGTGACATTTGCCTTGGAGCTTCGATGGTCTGATCGCAAAATTGAGACACAAAATTGTTGGAAAGATGAATGATTGCATACTTTGGTTATCAAGTCATCCTTCGCTACAACAAGGTTTTGGCTCAAGTGTAGAGGGATGATAAGAAGAACGACAAATGTTAGAGAGACTAAGCTCTTCATATTTTGGCTATTATTGCACTAGAAAAAAATTATGACTGTAAGGAGAAGATTGTATGGTGGTGGTGTTATTCAAAGCCAAGAAGTTGGACTCTTTTTATAGACAACTACCATTCTCTCAAGATGCAAGCAAACTTGGCTAGACATGGTGTTAAGGTTCTATGTGCCAAATGTACATGTTGGCACTGTTTGGGATAGGTTTAATTCCACTTTCCTGTGATATAAATGATAAATTTAGAGAATATCAAGATTAGGGAATGATTAGGATATCATCCCCTATTTATATTAATGGTTGGTTGAGTTTAGAAACCAAAACTAGTTGCCCAGATTTTGGCCTGTCCGCTCGAGCGGGTCTTCTTGCGCTCGACCGGGGACTACACACTTCCAGTATTTCGTGTCTCTGCAAAACTTCTGAAGATGTGATTTTTGCGCTCGAGCGGGTTTGTTTACGCTCGAGCGGGTCTGTGGGCGCTCGAGCGGGTAGTACTTCCAGAGTATAAGTTCTGGGAGGGGGAAATCCACACTCGAGCGGACTGATTTTCGCGCTCGAGCGGAAGTGCTTTATTCTTGTGTCTTGGCGCTCGAGCGGGCCTTATTGCGCTCGAGCGTCCAGATGTTTGTGCTTTACGCTCGAGCGTATAATAGAGCGCTCGAGCGGGTCATACGTATATGAGTTATCCGCTAGGTGATTTTAAATCACTTTTTACTTTTCTTTCTCTCTCCTACTTTTTCTAAACACCATTTTGAGAGCCTCTCTCTCTAAAATCTTACTTTCTCTCTAGATTTTGATCTAGCTAGGGTGAGTTCCTTGTCTTTGGCCGTTACAAAAGAGTTGTTGATCGTCGGGGGCTACTTTTTAATCTAAAAATTTCGGGATTTGGAGCACATTGGGTTTTGTCACCTTCTCCTTTGGGGCTCCGAATTTGAGGTAGGGATATCCTACTCCTCTCTATGGATTTTGTCTTTAAATTTTAGTATTTTGAGATGTTGGGGTTGGTTTGGTAATTTGGTAAAAGTTTGGGGCTTTTGTGTTATTTTACAAAAGTTGGGGTTTTATTCATAATAAACCTAGATGCATATTTGGCATAGAGAAATGGAATAAATGTTGAATCATTGGTGAAAATGGGACCTAAGGGTTGAAATGTCAATTATGGAAAATAACCTAATTACATTGTTTGATTAATTGGAATGATTAATTGTGATAAATGAGGAAATGAAATGTTGATTGAATATCCATTGTGCATTTATTTTCTGTTTAGAGATAACTGCTTTGGGCTATCGGTGGAGGATAGTCGTGATTGTTGTAGACAATGCATGATGATTAGGCAAACGGAAACTAATCAATGGAGGTATTTCCTCACTATCATCGCCTGTAAGAACTATGCCATCTACATAAACAATGAGTGCTGTAGTCTTACTACATGAGGAATGTTTCACAAACAAGGTGTGATTTGCCTGACTTTGTTTGAAGCCATATTTAAGCATAGCCTGAGTCAATCTCTCAAACCAAGCCCTTGGAGACTGTTAGAGACTATATAATGACTTCTGAAGCCTGCATACTTTGCCTTCTGTCTGATGATCCTCAAAACCAGGAGGAATGTCCATATATACCTCTTCTTCGAGGTCACCATGGAGAAAAGCATTCTTTACATCAAATTGATAAAGTGGCCAGTCTAGAATAGCTACTAGAGAGAGAAGTACTCTGACCAAGGTTTTAAAAAGTGGCCGCAACCGTTACGTAACGGTTGTGGTAGTTACCGTCACCCGTTACGGCCGCTTTTGCAGTGTGATTAAGATTCACAGGTGCGTCGGCCGTAGCGGCTGCTATAGGTGCCGTAGCAGCCTGTTATGTACCGTTACGTAACGGTTCCGAATTGCTTCTTTCGAAAAAAACACAAAAAAAAAAAAGTTAAAAATGGGGGAAGAGAGATAGAGAGAGAAGAGGGAAGATGAAGAACATATTATTGATTTGTTGAAGCTGTAAGACCTATACTATTCTATTCAGCTACTATTACTCAACTATTTAGTTTGTGTGTGTCTATCTATATATTGTTTGAAAATAATAATAATAATAATAATAAGTGTGGTCATTATCTATTTTGTTTGATTAAAATATATATATATATATATATATTTAGGCTTTTATTTGTTTTCTTACTTTTATCATTGTTTATCTTATACATAATAGTTAGTGATTGATTTTTTATATAATATAGAGTCATTAATTATTAAAATAAAATGAAAAAAACTCAGTTTATAGTGATTTGAAAATATGAAATATATTGGATCAAACTTAAAAATTTATAAAAATTGATCAATATTTATTTTAAAATCCAATAAATATGATCATGGAAA